CCGGCGCACCACCGCTGCCGTCCCACGTGGCGCCCCCCATTCCTCGCGATTCCTCCATCTCCCGCCGCGTCATGCCATGCCCCGTCCTCCACCGCGCCCAGGCCAGGCGACCAAGAGGGGGTTGTAGCTGGCCGGACCCAGGACAGGCGCAGGTGCAGCTAACCGCTGTCAAGCCACTCCACCATCCTCGGCCGTCGGCTGGCGGGAACCGGTCGTTCCCCCACTCTGCGCTGCGTCGTACGGAAGAAAGGTGAAAAACACATGTTGTAAGCCTATGTTTCGGGTGTTTCATAGGTATCTTGCAATTGTTTCATATGGATGTTGTAAAAGTAGATTAAGATATTGCAATTGTTGTACACGTATGTTTTGCAAGATTTTGTTCCCAATATTTAATATATTTTTTTAGATGTATGTTGCAAGTGTGTTTATATGGATGTTTCATATGTTTTCACATATATGTTGCAAGTGTTTTATCTGGATGTTGCGTATGTTTTACGATGGTTTTCATGTGTTTTTTCAAGTGTTTCATATGTATGTTTCAAGTATTTTATTTGTCTTCAGACGTATGTTGCAATTGTTGCATCTAAATGTTTTAAAAGTAGATCGGGTGTTGCATCCCCTTCTCGCCTTCTGTTGTCTCGCATTGGTGTCTCTTTCTCCTCCCGGCGCCGGCTGGACATTTGAACCAGAGGCACATGTGGGCGCCGCCCCCTTCCCCTCTTCTCAATGCCGCGTAATGTTAAGGAAAGCGCGGGCCCTCGTGCGGGGCATGTGAAACAGAGTGTAGACGCGGATATCCGAACTCTAGCACTGCTGAAACTTTAATCTTCTTGACCAACCAGACAGGAGTCACCCGACTCTCTTATTCTCATCTATTTTCCTATATGTTGATTCGATCCAGATATTTGATCGGCCCCCGTTTTGTCTAAAACCAGGCCTCCAACTAAGGCGTGGTCACGAAGGCCCACTGCATACTTCATACACAGTATAACATCTCCAATAGTGTTTCTTAGACTCATAATTTCTAAACCATCGTTTGGAGAGCCATTCAAATAAAAAATGTTCTCTATATTTTTTCACCATTCAACAACTTCTTTATATATTTTGCGCACTTTAGAGAATCAACCCCGCTCTTCATTTTTAAAGCAACTCCAAAAGACTCTTTATATTCTCCCTAATTTATAGGAGTAAAGATTTTGATAAAAAATACTCTGCAACAACCTTTTGTAACTGGATCTCCATTCTCTATTCCGGATTTCTCGCTAATCAAAGATGGAGAATAAGGATCACTCTCTAAAGTGCACGCAAGATATAGAATAGCTATTATTGGAGGCTACAAAGATATAGAAAATGATTTTTCTCAAATGACTTTAAATGATGATTTAGTGAGTAAATTTTAAAAAACTATTGGGGATGCTCTTAGCTAGCAAGAAATTCGTAATAGAGGATGGCAATATTTAGAGATCTAACTAAAAGTCATTTTTTCACCAAAATCTATTTTATTTTTCAATGAAGAAGGATTTAAAGAGGCTCTTGGAGTTGTCAGGATTCCTTTATTTTTTTCTCTATTTCTTTCTCCTTTTTCTACTTTTCCTTTGTTACGCTAATTTTTATTTATTTTTTCTCTTAATTTTCATTCTCCTTATTTTTATTAGTTTGTTTTACTTAGTTTTCTATTATTCTATTTATGTACATGGAGGATTTATGAGGTATCTCATGGTGTAGTTTTTGTTATCCTATAAGTATCGATGCGCCGCCTTATGTTTTCTTAGGACCACATGTTTTCTTTGGGCCCAATCGGATTTTGTTTTCAGCTAACTAAAACTTATCAAAAACAGAAGAAAATTCGATATAATCGAATGTTAGACGTCCCATTTTGAAATGCCTGAGATTGTTGGTACTTGGTAGCCCAGCCGGAGGTGGACGACGCCGACGCAGGTCACTCTCCTTTCCAGTTTCCGGCCAGCTGCCAAACACCAACCAGCCCGACGAACGAAGTCAAAAGTGTCAAATACCACCAGACTGGCGCCAATCTCAAAGCGCATCCGAACCACCTCACGTCCACACCTACCACAAAATGACCCTTCCGATTCCGACGCTCCATCCGTAACCGACACACTCCCACTCATTTCGCCTCATCATCCGCCCCCCGCCGCCGTCCCCACAGATCTCGCCGCGGCCACCGCTTCCTCCATGGCCGCGCGGGCGCGCCGCCTTCTTCTGTTCGTCGTCGCCGTCGCGGGAGCCCTGGCGCTCCCCGTGGCTGCCGAGATCAAGAAGGAGTCCTTCAGGGAGGACCCGCGCTCGTCCATCATGTTCGAAAAGTTCGGTTTCTCCAAGTCCGGCGCGGTCCGGATCATCGTCTCTGGCGCCGCCGTCTCCTCCCCCGTCGTGCGGCCGGACAACGGGCAGCTCGGGTTCTTCCTCCTCTCCGACGAGTCCCTCCTCCACGCCATCGACGAGGCGCAGGAGGGGCCCACGCGGGAGAAGCGCGCCGCGGCGACCAACGGCGGCGGCGAGGACCCCGACGGCGGCTCTGTCTCTGCCGGGTGCGTGCTCAACAGCCCCTACGTGAAGAAGCTCTTCACCTTCAAAAACTTGAAGGGCGGCCACTACAACAAGTCCTTCCCGGTCACCCGCCCCGACGAGTACACCCTCTTCTTCGCCAACTGCGCCCCGGAGGCGCTCGTCTCCATGACCGTCCGCACCGAGATGTACAACGTCAACGCCGACGGCTCCAAGGACTACCTCCCCATCGGCCAGGCGCCCCTGCCCGCCATCTACGGCTTCTTCGCCTTCTGCTACGCTGCGTTCCTGGCCGCCTGGGGGTACCTCACCCTCTCCCGCGACCGCGTCTCCGCGCACCAGATCCACCACCTCATGTCGGGCCTCCTCGTCGCACGCCTGCTCTACTGCCTCTCCGCGGCCGAGGACCAGCACTACATCCGCGTCACCGGGACGCCGCACGGATGGGATGTGGCCTTCTACCTCTTCCAGCTCGTGAAGGGTGTCATCCTCTTCGCGGTGATCGCGCTGGTCGGCACGGGGTGGTCCTTCTTGAAGCCGGTCCTGCAGGACCGGGAGAAGAAGGTGCTCATGGCCGTGATCCCGCTCCAGGTCACCGCGAACATCGCCGCCGCGGTCATTGGGGAGACCGGGCCCTTCATGCAGGGGTGGGTGACATGGAATCAGATCTTGCTCTTCGTGGATGTCGCCTGCTGCTGCGCGGTGCTCTTCCCGGTTGTGTGGTCCATCCGGTCGCTCAGGGAGACGTCCAAGACCGACGGCAAGGCGGCACGGAATCTCTCCAAGCTCACCCTCTTCCGGCAGTTCTACGTCGTGGTGATTGGGTACCTGTACTTCACTAGGATCGTCGTGTATGCGCTCAAGACAGTTGCCAGCTACAAGTACCGGTGGGTGAGCATCTTGGCAGAAGAGATGGCCACCCTGGCGTTCTACCTGTTCATGTTCTACACATTCAGGCCGGCCGAGAAGAGCCACTGCTTCTCTCTCGATGAAGATGAAGAAGAGGCCGCAGAGATGGTGCTCCGAGAAGAGGAATTCGAGCTATGAAGAGATGCAGCGATTCACAAGAGTCTCCATGCCACGTCCGTTTGATCTTCACTCCCTGTGATCTTGATCATACTTCAAATGCCAGGACACAGCTCACAGTGTTGTATGTACCGATGGGATGTGAGATCGTTTTGTTCTTCTTGTAGATTTCAGATTTTAGTATTTTACTGATGAAACACAGATTACTTAACTTATACCACCATGTTCAAGAAGTTTTCTTGCTTGCAATGCAATCAGCAGCAACTCCCCCTGTTTCGGCTACATATTTTGTGGTGAGCCGTCTTCGTCACTTTGGCACATTTGACTTGTTCTACTTTCCTGCCTACCTTGTCCTATATCTTTTGAATTCCTGCAATGCTTTGCTGCATACCTTTACATGCGTGTAGAGTCTTGGTCAGATACGAGCGTTGTCTCATGGTAAACTATGGTCACACATATACTCCGTACACACACTGGCATGATTGAGGCAGGAAAACTAGCTGACTAGCTGAACATGTGGAATGGCTGGGACACATTGCTTTGCATTGGTAGTGCGTCACTGTCCAGCTTTTAGATCTTAATCCTATGGTGCAAAAAAATTCATGTGTTAAACTGCATAAAACACATGGTTGTGTAGTAAACAGACTCTTTCTTTTGGCATTGCTGGTTGCGGATTGACAACAAGCCACTAACAACAACTACTAGTACTAATACAACAAGAAACAAGCTCTTGTTCGTGCGAGACGTGCTCCCCATGTCGAAGTTGCTACCATATTCTGTTATAAATATGTCAGAACAAAATCTTTGCTGGCACAGGCGTGCAACAACCTTGTCTAAAGACCCAGGGTCAAATCGCAGCTATGCAGTGGCCTAAAGTACAAGCACAATATACTTATAGCAGGCATATGCGACTATGTAGTGCAGCTAAATATGACATATCACATATATAATAAGTAAAATATTGGAAAAACATTCTCTCATTATTCTTAAGATATGCCAGGACGTCGAAATACATAGTTCCAAGTAAATCACAAAACAAGTTCAGTTCCAAGCTATGATGGAACAACTATTAGAGCTAAAATTTCATCGCATCATTCCCTCCACCGATTACCACAATCTGGGCTGCAGCACACAAAGAACAGGGTCATCCCCTCCTCCCCTCTTGCCGTGGCCTGCAAATGATAAAAACAACACTGGGCTTAAGATTGTCTCAAAACATTTAAGCAGGATAAGTGCCATCAATTGCAACTATTGAAATATAAATATCGCTTAACTGCAGATGCAGTAATTTTGAAGAATAAAGAGACATGCAAAGTGATATGCTCTGCGCCTCTAATGGCATTTAGTAGTATTACTGTACAAAAGAGGACCCTTATTCTGGCACAAAACAATAATATAAGACCACATTTTCTTGGGAACTGACTCCTGACTTGTCAATTAGGACATGTTCATGTCAGGGATATAGATGCAGGCCTCAACATATAGGATAGATACTGCCAAAAAAAGGGGGATGCATTAACTCCAACGTTAACATTAACAAGGTGCAGAATTTTGGCATACTATTTTGTTTAACAAGTCATTCAGATTGCATAACAATATCACATGAAAATGCAACCCATGAAAATGCGACAAGGCAGAACAAGAAAAAAAAACCTGGAAGAAAACAGCCTCTCCATGCCCACAGACAGTGCAGCGGACAGTCTTGGTTCTGGGAAGAGTTGGGTCAGAAGCTACATCCTGCAAGACTCGTGTTCGCTCCCCAGCAGTGTGGTGCACCTCATTCCGATAGACGCAGTTATTGTCAGAGACCTCCTGAATCGGACCAGGAATAGTACTGTTAACTTGGATGCCAAATTATTCAATTCACCATTCATTAAACACAGACACAACTAACACTGTAGGACAAGTGTAGTATTTTTGGGTGTGGACAGGATAATTGTATTCCTGTTACAGTTATGTCTATGCTATGCATACATGACATAAATGAGGGAATTAAGTAGCCAAAGGTGGAAATGAAGGGCACACATAGCATTGCCATGACCCTACCAAAATCTTGGAATTAGGGAAAAAAAGGGAACAACCCCATCCCATAAGCATTTTAGTGCTCATTCGAACCCCATCATCCAAGTGCTGTGCCCAAACACCATTCTTGTAGTGATGCACTGATGAGGGGTACAGCAAGAAGATTGGATTGGATTTGTTGGTGGAACAAGGATAGAGGTTGACGAGTAGTACCTGGTGCTCGCAGTTGCGACATGCGAAGAATAGGGTGCGCCTGTCTCTGTCCTCCTTGGGGTACAGGATGTTGTTGCTGCATGTCCATCCATCATCAAGTAACTGTATGATCAATCTAATGCAAGAGAGAGCAAGATGATCGATGTAGAAGGGTGCATACCACTCACAGCAAAACTTCATGGTGCTCATGGTTGCAGCAGTAGTGTCTTCTTCAAGCCCTGAATAGAAACCAGAGAGATTTCATCAGATTGTTCAATGGTAGAAACGGAACACGGCTAAATTTATCGTGTATCTCCGTAGTGAATTACCATCTGACTATTCTTGATACAGTGAATTACAAAGCGCATTGCAATTTCAAAGTGCAACTGGGAGATGTGAGGATAAGTAAGAAAAATATAAGCTCTACCTACAACCGAGAAACAAAATGGTAAATTTGTGAATTTTCCTTAGCTGTGGTATCTGATAGATACAGAGAAATTTATTAACCTGATGGCATCAACAGGGGCAAAGTTTCGCCCTACAACCTGCTAAAGTTCTGATTTGTACATTTATGCTCAACATTCAATGTGTCAATAACCCAGCAGCAACTGATTGCAGACTTCAGGTTGCTGGTTACCTAGCACCCATCAGTACCAAGCAGATAATATAATGCTAGCATTAAGCAATGTTGCACATCTACTGTTTTTTATAGGAAAAAAAGGATTGACCTGACCCCCTTGCATCAACATTACAATCAGCTAGAGAGAGAAAAAAACCCTTAAGGCTTCGTTTGGCATGTGGGGGTTACGTTCTAGAGAAATGACCCAAGGAAGGATTGTGTTGATCCCTCCCTCCCACCCAATCCCCTTCCACCGTGAGGGTTTAAACCACTGCTGAAGTTAATTATTTGGGATGACTTGGATTGACATGGAATGGTTCCGTGGCAAGAAACACCGCAGTGTTGCTGTCGATGTTTTATTACTGTATTTATTTTCTTCTCAACGAACGAATAGCTTAGAGCTGCATCAATAATTCAAATAGTTTATACGACAAAATGCACATACATGCTGCCTGGATCAAACTACATATAGGTCATATATCGGGGTTTATTTTGAACGGCGTAAGTGCATACACATCATGTTCATACAATTACAACTGGCCAAAAGATTTAATTAGAAAAATACAATGCTCAACACTTACGATATGAAAGATTGTGGCACAAGAAGCATAAGTGCATGACATGTGTACAGGATACCCCCAAGGGTGAAATAAGATAAATAATACATTCACAAAAACATTATAGTAGACAAAATTTGGATTACTGCAGGTGGAAAATGACACATTCACAGAACTAATAAAGGGAAGTAGCTGTTACCACACAGTATGTATTTTCCTTTGTCAAATGAGCAAACCATCAATGTTGGGTGGTTTGTTAAGACTAATATCCAAGGAACAAATAACAGTAAAGTACTAAATACCAGAGGATCAAGCAAGTACATATATGAACAAAAAAGAGCACTTGGATGCACAGAGGGATGTAGTGCTAGTAATTCAGTTTTCTTCACCTTGAAGGCGTCAGATTCCGAAGTGAGTTTTGTTCACCTTGGAGCACAACGCATCCAAGAACATATCAAGAACTCACAAAACCATCTCTAATGGTTGGTTCAGTAGGCTAGCAGTCGGTGGAGGGGAAGGGGACGAGGGTGGAGAGATGCAACTGGTGACGCCTCCGACGAATCGCCCCTAGCCAAGCACCTGTGCTTGTAGAAAACTCAAAACCCTAGCAAGAAGGGGATGGGTCAGGAGGGGGACAGGGGGAGATGGGGAGGAGATGGGGAGGCAATGACGAGACACACCTTGGATTTGCAGGGAAAACGGGATGATGAGAAGGGGGAGGAGGAGGAGATGGAGGCAGCGTACCTGGATTGGCGCAAGCACCAAGCAGTGGCGGCGTAATCGGAGTCGGGAGTCACCTACGGCAGCGGCGTGGAGTCGGGGTGTTTCCCCGGGCCTCGGGTGGCGGGACAAGCAGTACGAGGTTTGCGTGGGTGCGTTTGCGGAGGTAGTAGTCCCGCCTCCCGCGCGCGTCCCGGCCGCAGCAACATTTGGCCAGGCGGGGAGCGTGCAGCTCACCGTGCCAACTGCCAAGGTGCTTGTCTGCTTGCGCTGCTCGCCTGGCCTTAACATTATCTCATCAAAAAAAAAAAAACATTACCAGGATTCAGGAGGGCTCGGCCGGCTATTGTAACATTGGCCACCTTGTTTAGATTGCCTTCAAATTCTAAATTTTTCCACTTTTTCTCTATCACATCAATTTTTAAACGCATGTATGAAACATTAAATGTAGATAAAAAAATAACTAATTACACAGTTTGATTATAAATCACAAGACGGATCTTTTGAGCCTAGTTAGTCCATGATCGGACAAAATTTGTCGAATACAAACGAAACGTGCTACAGTGTCCAGATTGTAAAAATTTGCAATCTAAACGAGACCTTACTAGAAAAAACGCAAGAACTTGACCTATTCGGTACTCGGCAGGTAAAATCAGAATGTATAACAAGATATTTCAGTCTATCACAGTATGTATGAAATATTTAGTATCAGAATACAGTTTCGCTCGAGAGATTATAAGGGTATTAGCGTATATATTTCTATAGGATAGGAAAACAAATTTATGTGCGAGAAAAAAATAATTTACAATCTTCACAGACAAAGGGGCAGCCAGAAAACGGCCCCCCGGAAAACATACATGTATGCTTCAAAGCTGTCGTTGCTTTTCAAATATTTCTACACTTAATGCCAAGTTAGGGGTGAGTAAACCAATGATACAGCACCACCACGACACAAAAACTTGCTCAGGTCCGGGTAATGCTGCTTTCTTATCTGCCTTCTCAACGAAGGTCATCGCGGTGCAACTCTGGATGACTGGATCAATTTGAGTAAATGCCAGAACCCGATGGCCACAACGATGGTCAGTTAGAGCAAATGCCAGAACCAGATGACTGCATCCTTGTTCAGTTGTTCCGACTCTAGCTCAGCGAGCTTCGTTGGGCAGCTCCATTTCATGCCCCTGTTACGGGAGAAGTGGAGTGCGTCCACACCTCAGCACGACTGCCACAGCAGCAAGTGCAGTGCGTCCACAGTCCACACCTCAGCATGACCGTCACAGCAGCACCAATACTACTATGGAGTATCCACCGTTGGTCCATTGCTGCTGCACCTTTTAACATGTCCGTCAGTCCGTGCCAAAAAGTCATCAACAGCAAGTGATGCATCACCATGTGCAACCGCGTCCTCTGGCTCTGGCATGTAAAGTGTAGAAGACGATGCCTGTGCAGAAATATACAAAAAAAGAAAAATAAACTTGCACGTTAAATGTATAGAAGGCAACTAGATTGAATCCATGAGGACAGGTTATAGCTAGTAGCACTTTCAGCAAAACACTCGGAACACTACTGTTAAATATTTCTCGTGAACTGACAGGAATCCAAGAATCGGAGGGTGCATGTTTGCATAATCAAGATCTTCTTACTGGAGCTGTGTAGTGTTTTCTCAGGAAACACAGGTCTATTTAGCCTAACTGGAAATTCACCAAACCGTTAGCACCCTCCCATCGTCTTTAGATAGTTAGATGAGATTTGACTGTACTTAAATAGCACAGAAAATAACTGAGAGGGTTGATACCTTCATATCTATCTGCAATTCCCCACTGTTATCTTCTGAAAGAACTGCCCCATGCGCTTTCAACCATTTTTCGCATTCTTCTAATCCATCATCCTCATTGGTTGCACAGCCTTCAGTATCTGTTCTCAAGAACCCCAAAATCTGTGCAACATATCCCACAGGTACAGTTGGGCGATATGACCTAGACATGCATTTCATAGCTTCAAAGCGCATCCGCTCCACATATAGATCTGTTAATGAGAATGGTTACAACATCAGAAACCTCTTCCAAGAAGAAAAAGTATAGTACATTTTAAGCTAGTATATTGCTCTTTACCCATGAGGCATGAGTTCAAATTGGGCGCCTTCTTGTATAGCTTGAAAAATAGAACATAATTGCCAGATAAAACAGAAGCATGAACTGCAAGGGCATGCTTAACTGCTGCATCTTGTTTGGCTTCTTTTGATAAGCTGAAATAAAAAAAAATCAATTACAATCCACTTCTTTTGATAGGCTGAAATAAAAAAACAAGATATCAATTACAATCCAATTAATGACTAAGTTGGGATTCGATAATCTAGTATTTACAACACAATACCTTGCCATTGACGACAGCAAGTCTCGTTTATTATTAGAGTGTAGCATGACACACAGCAAATTGTAAGCAGAAAATTCAAAATAGCAACCCTTGATTCCTTGTGCATATAGCCTCTTCAGTTGTGACTGGCACTGCAATAGTTATTGAGCAGAAATAGTTAGAACTATGACAATCATGAAGCACCAGTGTAGATTTCTAGCCTTCAGGGTTGTATTTTGCAACTGTAAGTTTTATGAGCAACAATTTTTAATGGCATTCAGCTTTCCTGATTCAGTAGCAGTACCAGTGATCAGAAATTCAGAATGACGAAGACCAGAGACAAACCAGTTCACACAACCCTGTATCTATTATTATAATAACATTTGAAATTGCCAATAGAAAAGCAAAACCAAACCTTGTAGCTATTTATAAACTAGGGGCTCTTGCATTTCTACCCTTTTTTGTACTGAAATTGTGATTTTGCCCCTGCTTTTTTAACTTTGTGATTTTACCCCTGTGTTTTCAAAACGAAGCATCACTTTGCCCCTATTCGTCATCCTCCCCTAACTGTGTTAACTTTTGTATAGAAGGACAAAAATGCCCATGTGATTTTGCCCCTGGTTTTTGTGGCTATTTGTGATTTTACTCCTGATTGGGAATAAGACATTTATATTGTATTTTGACAAAAATGGTCAAATATATTTGGCGCAATTTGCAGTTATTTCAAATCAGATTCAATATTCAAAAAAATATTCAAAATTTTGGCAACATTTTGGTAGCATCTTAGCAATAGCTTAGGTTAGGCATTTGGGTCCCTAATGACTTAGGTTAGAAATTTCGGTCCTCTGTTTTGCACACAGCAGGAAGGGAATAGAATGGATACGACCCGCCTCCTCCTCCACGCGAGACAGGTGCCTGGAGACGCGGAGATGCGGCCGCCGCCTCCCCGCGAGCTGCATACGACAAGCGTGCTGCCTCCCCACGAGTAGAAGACGACCCGCGGCTGCCTCCTGCACGCCGCGCGCCAAGCACCGTGGCCCGTGCGCCAGGCGCCGCGCCGCAGCCCCTCGCGCCGCCCGCTACGGCCGCAGCCTGAGCACCGCACGCCACGCAAAGAGCACCGCGGTCCGCGAGCTTCTGCCGCCGCAGCCGTAGGACCCCGCCTCCCGATGCGCCCCCGCTCAGTCGTCACCCGTGAGAGAAGCCGTGTGTGCGTTTCCTTTTGTTCGGATGAAGAAGAGGTTGAAGATAAGCATAAGGGGCAGTTTGGTCTTTCCCCCTATGTTTTTACAGATTTTGTATTTTTTTTAATTCATTTACTCCATGCCCATTTGATGGACATCCAAACTAGGGGCAAACGGAGGATTCATTTCAAAATAGCGAGGGCAAAATCACAAAAAAAGGGCGTAACCAGTGCAGAGAGCTCCCGCTCTGTGCGGGGTCTGGGGAAGGGTGTCAGTGGCAAGCCTTACCCTCGCCTGTGCAATGCGAGGAGACCGCGACTCGAACCCGGGACCTTCCGGTCACAGGCGGTAAGACTCTACCATTTGCACCAGGCCCGCCCTTCAATGGCAAAATCACAAACTTAAAAAAAACAAGGGCAAAATCACAATTAGACTGCTAGGCAATAACACAATTTTCCCTATAAACTAAGTTGGGATTGAGCGGGTACAATGGGTAGTAGGATCAACACTCTAGTTCATTTGCACAAATATTTCAAAATGCTAATCAAATAGAAAGAAATCATTACCTGGTTAAATTCGGGTAAATCGCCAGCTTGCATAGCTAATCGGGCATGGGTTTCATAAACCTGAAAATAAGATATCTAATTGTTATAAAATCGTAGCAAAATACTGAACTAATGCTCTAGCGCATGAATATTATCAAGTGTACTCCCCCTGTTCCAGAAAGAATGCACATCTTGCTTTTTGAGGAGTCTATCAAATTCAAGTTTCACTAGATTTATAGAAAATAATATATTACATGATTAATTTAATGACAGTTATTCAGTATCATAAATATAGTAATATTTTGTATATATTTGGTCAAATTGGGATTAGTTGACTCCTCAAATAGCGAGATGTGAACTCTGTTTGGAACAGAGAGTAATGTTTTAATTTATTGACAGTAGTAAGTAAAATAGACTGTTCATTTCTCTACTAAATAGTAGAGTGCAGGATGCCATGTAGAGTTGAAAACTACCTTTACAGTCAGTTCATTCTGGATTCTCTGAACTGTAAGATCTTGGCGGATAGATTTTAGCTGATCACACTTGTAAAGATAATTCTTTTGTGATGTTTCAACCATTGCAAGGGCCTTCTCCAGGACATCTTCTGGCCTTACCTGCAAACAAAATACTCAGAGGAGTCAAGCAAACAGTAAAATGATTAAGCAGAAGCGATCAACTTAATGGGTCAACATCAGTGACCCTTTGAATCTAGTGTAGAGTAAGACAATTGGTGAGTGTTGTTACTTTGGCAGGCTCAGGTGCTCCTGTAAGTCGTAGATATCCTTTCTCAATTTCCTGACATGTTCCTTTGATTGTCAGTGCATCCCAATTCATATCCTCAACAGCCAAAGTGCCTTCTTCATAGGTTCTAGTACGAAGAGATGAAATTGCCCTTCTTAAACGCAAACTAGCCAAAGCATCACTATTTGCAGAAGTATTTTTTGATTTTAATGACGAATCTTTACTCTTTTCAAAACGCTTGGATCTATGCTCCCTACGTTTCTTTTCCTCAGGCGAGTTTGCTAGTGCAGTTGCACTGGCATAATATGTGGTTAGATCATGTTCCTTCTCGCTGTCACTTGAAGCACTTCCATTCTGTATTTGACTCAAATTACTACCCATTTTTTGCTTCTTGGCAGGCCTCTGATTGACTTTATTTGAAAGTGCTTCACGAGACTGGAGAAACTTCCCATGATCCCAACTGCTACCCTGCACAGGATTTGGCTAATATTACGAAGAGCAAAAAAACAAGTTTGGAATACCAAGTCTAGTGATAAAAGCATTTCATTGTGGAAACTTAGAAACAACAACATGAAAGTTCATTCCACCAGTATGAGCAACAGATTAATGCTTACCATTCTATTTTTAGGGTCCAAAGTACTGTGGATGTTACTGCTGATCAATCCTTTTGCTATTTGTTCCACCTTATTGGTAACATTTTCATCCACAACAGGCTCCCATCTACTTTTAACACGTTTCCTTGGTGTAGATACTGACGAGAAGGGACTTAAATTGTTTACACTGCTTCATAGGAAACATGACGAGAGAAAACAAGAAATTATCAGGACTGCTCCGTATCTGATAAATCAAAGTAAAGAAAATGCAAGGAACAACATGGATTCGGGGTATCAGAATAGAGGGAGTAAATTACACTAGTGCTGGCTGTGCCACTATGTACTGAAGTTTTAAACAACAGGCAATAAAGTTGCATCAATTAATGTGTTTAAGGTCTAAACAATCAAGATACTTAGTTTGTGTCGGGGGAGGAAAGTTGAAAAGCAGTGTACGCACCTTGTTCCAGTCATGCCCACAACACTTTCAGGCAAAGGAAATAGTGGTTCAGTGTCCCAGTTCTTAGTAAGAAGGGTTCCCTCAGCAAAAGCCTTTTTTGTGATCTGAAATTAAAGAAAAAAATAAAAAAGCAACTGAGATTACAGAGTCTCTTTATCAACGAAACAAATCAAAACTATGTAGCAGGGAAAATTGAACTAAGAAACAATGAAGCAGCAGCATATGGATTGTACCCATTACTAGAGTAAGTCTGACACTCTGACTAGAAATTTGAAATCAGGCTTATTTTACCTTGGAATGGTAGCATCCATAGTCACTGATGTTGGAAGCTAAAATTGACAAACTTGGCTTAAAGTCTGTACACATTTAAAGTTTGTGCACACGACAGCAAAAGTATCATGACGTCATGCGTGCGGTGCATGATCAGCTAGTTGTCTTTTGTCGTGTGCAGGGGTTTGGCTCATATGCATGCATGCAGTAGTGGTTAGTTGGCTAGAATCTTGTGTCAAATGGAGGAAGCCACAGATCATGCATGTACTGCTAGAATTAGTAGGGATCGTGTAGGAAAGATGCATAAGTTTGCATGCATTCGTAGTAGTCTCCTGGTTGAGACGTGGTTGTGTATAGCACATGCACAAGATAGTGGGTGTGGGTCATTATATGTGTATTTAAGAAGTCCTAAAGCAGTGGTGAGATATACATATCAGAAAAAGGACATGAGTAGCATGGGTACATTGCAAAACTACTTCTATTTCTTCCCTATATCAGTTTTTTTTGTAGTTCCATCTCATGAGAGTGTGCGCTAGTACTCTCCAGGAGGTGTGTGCAAGAGATCAAACGGACTTTGAGTGAGTGATTTAACTATTATTACAGTTGAAACAACCCTATCCTGTTAAGTGTTAACTACCAAAAGATGTCAGAGGACTAGGGCATCCACGACTAAAAACAAAGGTACCGCTGGTGTCCTTTTCGGCAAGGAGATGCTATCATGCTAGCAACTAATAAAGGCAAAAAATAAAGAATAAAAGTAAAGATTTACCTCCTCCATTATGCTTCGGCAGGCTGCCCTCTGGGCATCATTCTTGCAACGATTGAGGTTCCTCGTAGCATAGTTACGGAGTGAAAAGGGTATCGATCTCTAAACAGGAGAAATGAAAAATGCATGGTTAATATGCAAGTACCGACACATCTTCTTTGTCTAGAATGTTTAGTTATAAACATAAGCACAGCTGCAATTTGTTATCATTATTTTCCAAAGAAGTAAGTGATTTACTCTTACAGACACTATACAAATTTAATCATGAAAATCAGGATGATAGTCAACCAAAATGTAATTCCAGCATTTCTTAAATCTCATTACTTTATGTAGTGTCAATTCCTATGTAAAGAAGAGAGCAGAATATTACAGCATCAGGACCAACTTGAGTTGCTTTAGCATCATTCGTCGGCATGGAAACACTAACATAGGCAGGTTTCTTTGATAAATCAAGTCCAGAATTTTTCTTCTCATTCTTTGGCATCACCATAGAGAAACCTGGGGCAATTCGAGGATTTATAGGAACCTGTATTTTGCTTTCGCTGGAATTGTCCATTGTCACAGAACCCTGCAAGTTTGGTTTAAAATTTTCAGAAACATGGTTCGATGAAAGATTTGTGCTTGGACCGTTAGAATCTACAGTCTTCTGTTGATCTTCAGGGTTGCTTAGTTGCGGATGATTGGAATTAGTCTTCTGAGGATATGGCTGTGTCTGGTAGGCATAATGGTTTTGAGACCATTGGACACTTGGTCCCTGGTTATAATGGCCTTCTGCCTGGTTGGCATATTGATTTTGATGTCCTGGAACCTGGAGAGTGGTGAAATTTAGATGATTGTTCTTCTAATGAATAAATGCAAATAAAATGCTACAGAGCACATAAGAGTTGTCACATATCATCATATGAAATGGAAGGTAGAGTCTATGCTTCAGAAAATGCATAATATTGATGTAAAAAAGAGAATGAAAAGAAGTAAGCTTGATAAATGCACCTAAGCCATAAACTAGAGAGCAATAGGTACATGTACTGACTACTCTAAGACTTCAGAAGATCACTTGATCTCTTTTGGTGAAAAGAATGGGCCATGGCCAAGGGCGGCACTTCTTGGAGGCCAAGCCAAGATGTAATCATATCCCTACCTTACTAAACAAATAGCATAAGAAAATTTTGATTCTGGCCATTGAATGCAAACAAAAATAGTAAAAAGTTTTTCTAGTTTAGCCCCTCAATGATCTTATCTAAAGTTCCATCACTGGACTGGATAAGTTCTTAGGAAAAAGAAAAGTTCATATGCCAGCTTGACATTAAGACTACTGCCTCAATACAGGATAACCTGCATCTTATTTATGTTTTAAGCATTCTTCCACTTCAACTAATATCCGTCTTTATTTATGTGCAAGTGCATTCATGAATTAAAAGATTTCCTATACTAAACAATAAGTGGTGTTATTTTTTCCATAACGAGCGAACCCGAATTTCATTACTTATGAAAGCAGCGAAAAACCTTGCACCCGAGTTTACCATTTAAAGCACTTACACCCGGGTTTAATGACTTTGCAACAAAAAACAAAGCTGTAGATGACCCGATGGCACATAGGGCCCAGGATCGACCAGCAGACCATAAACTTGCCATTGTTAACAAGAAACACCTTAAAATGCCAACTTCCTATCTTATACAGTATCATAAAGGGATGTATTAGTTCATGAATCTTGTGTCAGATATGGTAGCTGCACTGAGATGATGGAAATTTATACCAAGTCGTATCAGTGATGTGCTGAACAAGCAACGCGTTTTTAATAACAGCCACTATCTGATTATCAAAATATCACTTGACTAAATTCAAATAGTCAATGCGTTTTTTTTTTGTTCCAGATTCTTCTTCGGGGTAATTTGGTTTGTGTCCTTAAGCTGATGGCCTGACACGGTTTTGATTCTGTCATCCATTTTTGTCACATTTTGTTTTTACAGCTCTTTCTCATATGCTTGTTCATTTTGTACACTTGTTATTTTCAGCATCACAAAGGATATTTTCAACTCACAAAATAAAAGTCAATGGGTGTGAATAGCAATGATATATATTTAAGGGTGCGATCATTTGTCACTTGTGGAGGTTTACCACTTGTAGCGATCGATATGTGGTAAGGTTTTATTCAGTCAAACTTGGTATAACTTAATAGTCCAACAGAACAAAATGGCAAACAGAAACAAACACCAAATGGTAGAGTTACAATTACCAAAAAAAGAAAAAGGTGTCAAAAATGGATGGCAGAAAGTGAGTTCAATGACCCCCAAAAAAACTCTTCTTAGATGCACAGTTCTCCTGCATAGTCTTGAAAAAAGAATTGAAACAGCAAACAGACCCAAGCAACCCAAAATTTCTGAGAAATTGTTGCTCCAGATATCATGAAGTAGCAATTTTATAGTGAAAAGGGAGGTACAATACCTGCATAGGAGGTGCAGCAGAAGCAACTGAATTACTTTTCCATGATGTTGTTCCTGGTGGAGGTGGCTGGCTACTAGGATAGGAATAGCCAGAAGGGGTGTTAACAGCTAAGTTATCTGTAGTACTGTTCCCAGCAACTGGATTGCTAGAAGCACTTGGCACAGATTGATTGTAATAGTATGGCCACTGGTTATACTGCTGCTGGTACGGTAAAGAATTGGCAGGCACTGAAGTAGAACTCTGTTGTGCATTTGTATCAGATGATGAGTAGTTCTGGTATGATTGAGCAAAATTATTCCCTGTGCTTCCACCATTCCATGTGTTGTTCTGATAATAGTAGCTGCTGCTTCCATATCCTGGCACAGTCTGATGACCCCCAGCATTGTAATATGTGTTACTTGTAGGATCAATGTAAGACCCTGAATTTTGAAATGAAGTAAGAGGCTGATAAGCTGCACCTGGATGTTGGTTTGCTCCTTGCTGAACAGAAGAATCATTTGTCGCTTGTGGGTAGCTATAATAATAGTTGGCATATTCTACAGGGTTATAGACATGTTGGGCTGAACTAGAGTAAGGCACATGAGAATGAGCTGCATCTGTCATCCCCATACTCGACTGGGCAACAAGAGGCGCACTACTTCCTACATTGTGATTCCCTCCTGAGACCGATACATCCCGTTGTGGGTCATAGTAAACCGTATCTTGGCTAAGTTTGTCCACTGTATTGTTCCATGAAACTGTTGCTGACCCAGTCGCAGAGGACCATGAATGATGACTGGAAGATAGAGGATAAGGAGATGGATTTGTCTGTCCCATACTGACGACCTGCCATTACCAAATAAAGTGGTCATTCACAGTGTATATATACTCTCTAATTTAAATGGCCGTTTCAGAGGGGGTTAACAGTAGTCAAATTACGACCAGTGAAAAATCATCATTAAAACAATGATATGACTAGACTTCCATAAGATTCCACACTACATGACACTTCAAACAAGTAACCGAAGCATAGCAAGGCACACATGAATGTCAAATACTAACAGAACAACACATCGGAGAAGTAAAAATGGCACAAATACAACTCTTAATTAATTATTTAACCAGTATAGTTTATAAACATAAACATAACGCATGCCTAAACATACCCCCTTCCCAAAAAAAACATGGCACAGTAAATTGCATGATTTCAATCAGGCAAAAGATTTTCTCCCTGACCAAATAATTAGCACATATCAAGCGCTTAGCAACTCCTAATTAGACCGTATCCACAACAAAAGCCAAACCATCATAATCTGTGGAGATTAACTGGAACCAAAGCAAAAGATTTTCGCCGTGACCAAATAATTAGCACATATCAAGCGCTTAGCAACTCCTGATTAGACTGTATCCACAGCAAAAGCCAACCCATCATAATCTGTGGAGATTAACTGGAACCCAAACATAAGCTAAACTAATAGCAATAACCAAAAAACACACAAACATGTGTCGAGTCACATCAATACCTCAGCGTGCGGGGCGTCAGATCCATCGGCCGCCCCGGCGCCGTGGCTCGCCATCCTCCTAGAACTCCAACCCTAACCACCAATCAACCACCACAGCCGCCGCCACACGCTCGCGATTCGATCCGCGTCGAGGAGGGGGTATGGATCAGATGCGTAAGACGAACCAGAAGCAGAGGGGAAATTCGGGGCCGAACGGGTGCGTAAAGCCGTCCGTCGATTTTTTTTTAATTATATATGATGATTGACTGAAAAAGTTTTCCCTCCGCGGAAAGCGAGGAGATGTGCGAAGGAAACGGAAAAGGAGTCCCTGCCCCTTTCGGGCGCGTTGCGGGTTGGGTTAGAGGTGTCGTCAACGGCCTGCGGCACCCGCGTCGGAGCGGAGGGTGACAGTTGCGGAGCGTGGAGAAAGTAGGAAGGCCGGAAGGGAGGGAAGCAGCCTGGGGGTGTGTCGGAGGCTCGGAGCGGTTTGCGGAGGCGGGGATGGCTTCCTAGTTCGTAGAGAGGGAGCAGCAGGATGGAGAGCGGCGACGCCGACGACGCGGCGGCGTAGAGTGTGAGCGTTAGGGGAAAGGCATGAGGAGGTGCCGAGGTCTGCGACTGGCGGCCGGCTCAGTTCTCAGGCGAGATGGGGGGAGCGGGGAGCCAGCCGGCGAATATGGTGGCTTGAGATTGGAAAGGACGTCGCCGGTTAAGAAAGGCGGGGCCGCGTGGGGGAGGGGGAACCACCGTGAGGACTCGGCGAGAGAGAGAGAATCAGAGAAAGGCTGCGGGGCCCGACTAACAGTGGGTGTTCGCTTGGGCTCGTTTATCTGATAAGTCGTACTTTTTTAGCCAATGAATAATATTTTTCTCTCATATCAAATCAGCCAACGATATTTTTAGCCATGACTTATCAGCCAAACAAGACAAACGAACAGGACGTATGACGGTGCTGTCAGAAAATAACTGAACTTTTTTCAGCTTTCTACGAAATTGATATTCAGTCTCATATGTTGTTTATTAGATCAATTTGATATTCTATTCTCCTTAACTGTTTAATCCCTCGACTTCAAACCAGACTGAAGGCACCAAGTCAAGAATAAATTTCATTCAAAATCAACTAATTTTAAAAGGTGTACCTAGTGCAGAGAGCTCCTGCTCTGTGCGGAGTCTGAGAAAAGATGTTAATGGCAAGCCTTACCCTCGCCTGTGCAATGCGAAGAGACCGCGACTCGAACCCGGAACCTTCAGATCACAGGCGCGGTAAGACTCTACCACTTACACTAGGCCTACCCTTCAAAATCAACTAATTTTGATTTTTGAAAATCTAACGAGTACAATCAAAGCAATTTTGAAATAAGCCATCAAACAAACATCTTGTCCAACCCTGCCCATGATGAGGCATATCATTTGTCACTAATCGCAAATAACGGCCATACTAGCAATTGATGTGACAAATATGTTGTCACTATATAGTCACCAATACTTGTAAACAGTACACTGGAAGTAATCGCTTGAATTTAACTTTCATTTTGGCATTTTGCAATACATTGCACAGGTTGAAATCAACTGATTATCCAGTGCTTGTCCTCAACAGATATCCACCCTGTTCGCTTGTTGGTTTCAGCCAGGCTTATTCAACCAGTGAACAGTGTTTTCCTCTAAAAAAAACCAGCACCAGCTAGCCCAAACCAGCACCAGCCCCAACCAGCGAACAGGGCGAGTTCAACATCATCAATACAACGAGCCACCTCGAGCAATTAGTCCGACATTATTTTGCTGACACGAGATGGGAACTGTAATCACCGCTGGCCACCTGATTATACGGTGCTTGTTCACAGCATACGGGCTCAAATATAAGGACACATTTTGAACAGTTTTGAGAACCACAGGATATCAACTTTAATCACCGCTGGCACAGCCCCTGCATCCGCAGTGGACACATTCTATCACCTTCTCCTCCCTGAGGTGCTTAGGCACTCTGCAGACGCAAGTGGTTGCGAAGTTGTGGTCTCGTGTCTGTATGCAGCGAAGGCAGCAGAGGCGCTCATAACCTGGCTGCAAAAGGACTCGAGAGAATAATCGTTAGTAGCGATCCAGAGAATTGAGTAATAGAATCCAAATATAGTCACAGTAAAAGAACCCGAGCCTAGACACAGCAGAATGTAGCTATACAAATAAAGATAGTGTGGTTCAGGGTATGGAGCAAAAGTGTAGTAATAGTGAGAGAAGGAAAGTATCTGAGCAATGCCCCTAATGAGTGAATCAATAAAAAGATTGTACCATTCGAAATTTCCATATGAAAACTCACACACACAAAAGTACACTCGCATGGATCAAGCCATAAAGTACCTTTCGATTTCTATGATCATGGGTTTGGCAAAGCAAACCACTCCTCAAAAGTACACCAAAGTTTACTCTTTCATGATGAAGTGACAGTACTTACAAAAACATGAAAAATGTATGAAGAAGCATTGAATTGTGTTCTATATACGGCTCTTCTTTAAGTAATGATGGTCAGAAAAAAAGGATGCATCCAGACAAAAAGATTATACTTGGTATGTTTTTACTTGTTCACGTGATGGTTCACGTGATGAAGATATGGCCTAGATAAGTTCTAAGAAAACTAGAAATAGTTACACCATCAAAGTTCAACGACAAAATATATGCGGGAGAGTAGCATTCCAGACAGTTTTGTAAAAGCATCAAAACAAAGCATTAGTAGTTTAGTACTATTGAGGATGCTCACCAACCTTTTTCCACTTTGCAATCAGATTGCGATCTGCATAACCTTGGTCTAAGCAAAACTCATATAACTCTTTCGATATTTCCTTCCTTCGATAGTAAAGATCATATATGTAGCGACTCTTTTGATGAGAAATACGGAAGATTGGCCAAAGAGCTTCACATTTCCTCTTCCCATCATGTGGATCATTTTCAGCTGCAAGAGAAAATCACATTACTATTCCTATCAGAGAGAATATGTATTAAAAAATCTGCACAGAATGCAACTTAAGTTAATACCTTCCCTCATTTTGGCCTCCAGATCCCGAAGCGTTGGCTCAATAAGCTCCCATCCTTCAGGATATTTCACACGGCTTGTCTTTATCTTAGGCATGTTGTCTCAAATCTGAGGGATACAAAAATGGTGAGAAGCATATGTAGCACTTATTATTAATAATAAACTAGGATGTTATATGCTCCTACTATTTCATACAGAAACACCTCCAAAGCAGCAATGTGTACGGAATTGAAAAAAAAAATCTATATGTTTCCTAATATTCACAGTGCGCGTATATATACAGCTAACTCTCACAAAATGTTCTTTTAGCATATGACATAGAATAACATATCATGACAACCAACTAGAGGTGGACAATTGGGTGTTTTGAGTGCCATAGGCTGCAAGAACTACTTTTCCAGAATATAGGTAGAAAACAACGTGTACCTCCAATGGCGAACTATGCTTTGAATATAACTGCATATGTGATTGGGGCCCTTTGTCGCCCCAATTCTTTCAACCAATTTTGGTCTTGGACATAAACTTATAGCCAAATAATAAAAGTTTCATTTTGTTGGTTTGGCAGCAATCTACCGGGCTTTATAGAAACCATAAACAATGTGTGTTGAAAAGCAATGTTTTCAAGTCATCCAGTCGAACCTAGTCGCCATGGGACCGACTAGGACGATTAATCGCGATTAATCGGACGACTTGTACAAGTCGACGGTGCCCCTAATCAGTCACCAGGGACCGATTAGGACGATTAATCGCGATTAATCGGACGACTTGAAAACATTGAAAAGAAAGCAATAAGATCACCGACTGACATTGTGTGTACGGCTTCTTCATTTTTGCATCACTGGGCAGGTCTAAAATAGGGTGAGGACCGGGTGATGCAGGAATATGGAGCAGAAAAGACTGGCACTGTACTTCCATTCGCACCAAGAGGGAAGATACTGGGACAGTGCCGTTGCAGTTGAAGATGTCTGGGGCCTTCTGTAGTTCTGTTTCACATGGAGGAGGGGGGAAATGAATATTTAGATTGAGGCTTTGGTCAAGTTTTTTCTGATTGGTTAGGTGGACAAGCCTATGTACTATGTGTACAAGGATCATTGTGGTCTCTCATGCTTTCGTTTTGCTTACTCGGGATACGCCCTGGGTTGCTATAATTTGGCTAAGAGTTTGGTAGAAGTTTGTGTAGTTTCTAGAACTGGTGACAAGACGTTGTAGGGTAAAGACTTGCTCATTTTGTTAAGTTGGTTGTAATTTGAGTTAGGTGCGTGGAAACCTATGACTGGCCTAAAAAGAAGCCTTTTTAAAACTAAAAAATAGTAGGCAAAACTAAATCTGCCTAAAAAGAGCCCTGTTTGATGAAAACAACCTGTGCTTGGCCCAGGTCAGTATGGGCCTGGATAGCAAGTTAGCAACACTAAATAAACAGCACCAGATCCAAATTTTAGTTTCAATTATTTTTCAGTAATAAAAAAAACTCATATGTCAAAGCCAAATAAACTAATGTGATATAGCTTGTGGAGCGCCTAAGACTAATAGAAACTGAACTTTTCCCGGGCTGAGCTGGGAAACAATCACCACTCAAATGCAAGAAAAATACAGCTGTGCTAATAGCCCAACCAAGAATTCTACATTGGATCAGAAGACATATAAGCTGAATCCTCAAATGTCGCTTACTTCCCTCCCTCTCCCAAAATCCAAAGTTCCAGCAAGCAACAGCCGCTTGCCTGAGCTTCTTCTACCACTCTGTGCAGCCCTGATCCTCAACCTGCAATTTCATAGGCAAATACCTCGTTCGTCCCTTATGCGATCTATTTGCATAAGACAAACAGTAAGCCTTTTGATTTTTCCAATTCTAGGGTTAGCTTAGTTTTCCCAAGGGCTACTACTCTGTCACTGCCCCTGCCTATAATGTAAAATCCAATAATAGAATTCTGGTGCAGCTTACTTCATAAAAAACTCCTCTCAATTTTGGTCATATATAGCTACAGTGTCCTTTACTTTTAAAGGGTTTATTATTTGGCCAAGAGCTCATCTTTCCCAATTTCATATGTAGGATTCACTTCCTAGTTGCTACCAAATTAAACAATCAAGTCTTGAAAGCTTTTGTGATTTTTAAGTAGCTGCATAGTTGATTAAACAGCGCCATAATTGATCAGTTTTGCATCAATCCATACATACGACAAAATCAGTTTTGCAAATGATTAAGCAGAGCCAACTAGCCAGAAGCATGATAATAATCGATGTACACCTCTGTTACAGCAAGGGGAAGAGCAGAATCGACTTACCCTAAATCTGCAAGCAGCTCGATGCGGCCGCAAGGGAAGGGCTAGAGGGCACGGATCGCCGTCGGCGCCGCGCCTCTCCTCGGAGCCCTTGGCGTGGGGGTGAAGGGGAGCGGAGGATGGAGGGGCCGGTGGGCGGAGTGCGCGCAGGGGCCGGCCGGCGGCTGTGGCGGACCGGGCGGGCGGGCGGGGGCAGCCACGAGCGAGGAAGGGGGAGTCCTAGGCAGAGGCGGGGCGGATTGTTGGGGTAGTCCTAGGCGGAGGCATTGCTTGCGAGCGCACGGAGGGGCCCTTGTATGTGACGGGGAGCAGGCAAGCGAGGGCCATCGCCCATCGGGCTGAGTCTCTCTGGGGGAGAAGGCCAGACGAAACCACGCGCGGCATCTGTGGACGGTGGCGCTGCGTGCGGACGGAATAGAAGGAAGGAAAGTATGGGCTGAAAGCGACTCCGAATAGAAATAGGCCCAATATGAGTCCGAGCAAGTTTAGGCCCGTCAATGATTAACAGCGTGAACAGGTACCGTTGCTCGACGTTTGGATGGACCTGTCCGTATCAGATCAGGGACTCCTAGCGCCCGGACGTCCGGCACGTGAGACGCGTCCGGACGTCGGGCCTTCGCACCGAGCAAACCCACCCGTCCTTCAAACAAACCCGCCCGCTCTAGCCGCTTCACTTTTCTTCACCACCCGACCCTCTGTCCCTAGCCACTCACTTCTCTTCACTGCCCCTCTCACCCCCTCTCCCGCCGCGGGAATACAACGAAACCCGCTTGTCCCCTGCATCACCCGTTCCCCCACGCTAGATGTGTCACATCCTCATCGCGCTCCCATTAGAAAATTATTTTGCAACATCAAACAAAACGCAATGCGAGGTGAAACATCATAACAAGTCTATTGCAACATCAGAACAAGAGCGACTACAACAACACAACAAAGCTACTGCAAAACGAGATGCAACGTTAGAAAAAATACTAATGCAACAAAAAAAAATTACTTGTTGCAACAACAAACCAAAGCTACTGCGATAACAGAAACAAAGCAGAATGCGAGATGCAACATCTAGAAAAAAGACTAATGCAACAAAGAAAAATTACTTGTTGCAACAGCAAACTAAAGCTACTACAACAGCAGAAACAAAAAGGGCAGTGCGAGATGTAACATGAGAAAAAATACTAATGCAACAAAGAAAGACTACTTGTTGCAACAGCGAAACAACACTACTGCAACAATAGAAACAAAAACGCAAATACAAGAAGCAACATCAGGAAAAAAAAGTCTAATGCAACAAAGAAATATTGCTTGTTGCAACAGCAAAACAAGCTTGCTGCAACAAAGCTCGCCGGAACCCTAGCCACCGTCGCGTCCCTTAGATCCAGATCCAGAGAAGGAGTAGGAGGAGGAGAAGGAGAGCTCAGATCTAGAGGAGGGAGGAGGGCTCAGATCCAGATCCAGAGGAGGAGGGCAAGGCCTAAGATCTAGATCCCTCCGCGATGTACCTTGTAGGAGCCGCTGTCGTCGTCCTTGTCTTCGGTGGGGGTGTGGGAGCTGGGTCACAGGGAGAGTGGGGGTGCATGGAGGTCGCGGAAGCACGAGGGATGGAGGGAGGAAGGGAGCACGGGTGAGCGGGCGCGCAGCGAGCTTGCATGCGGGGGAAGGGAGGGAGGCCGCGAAGGGGCGGTGTTACACTGTAAATCATTTACTAAAACATGTCATGAGCATCATGTTTATGTGTTAATGCATGTGATAAAGTGTGTAGATTAATTTCTATAACTCGAAACGATCAACTAAAATGCGAAACGAAAGTTAATTCAATAGTTCATGCATATCAAGTAGGGTTTAAAACCATTTTTTATTAAGCAAAAATGCTATAGAACATGTATGTGATACTTAAATAAAGTTTGAAGTACAAACTTTATAGATGACAATGAAATACTTGCTGTAGAAAAATAATGTTACTAGCTAGTATTTCTAATAGTCTAGAAACGGAACTTGAAAACAAATCCAACTCAAAAACTTAGAAATTTTCAAGTCTGCCAACAGCTAGACATTGTTATGTTTAACAATTAATTGTGAGAGATTGGGTTAAAGAGTGGTGTAGTGTTATAGCTCGATTTGGTAGTCTCATGTGCAATCTTGAGCATGGTGAAGATGGTTTAGGTCCTAAAGCAACCGTTTGGTCGTGTTGAGCGCGTTAAAATTCGTGTGCGTCACTGTCTTGGGTTGGTTGGCGTCGGTGCGTGGGCCTCCCTATCTCGTGGCTCGCGGCCCGCCAAGGCGAGGACGAGTCAAGCCCACTGCCGCGCTCCATTTCTCTCTTTCTCCCTCTGTTTTTCGCAGCCGTCGAGTCGCGTCACGGTGAGCCAGAGAGTGAGCACCTCTCATCAATTCCTCATGCTCGCGCCTCCGCCTTCACGTCCCCTCTCCAACCGCCCCCATCCCACTTTGATTGCGGCTCAGCCGAGCTCCAATTTTGGAGCTTTGCCCGGCATCATGCCGTTAAGGCCCGCCACCGCCCACGCCGTGGCTAGCCTCCACCACTTCACCCCGCGTAAATTCCTCTGCACCACTAGCTCGCCTTGGCTCCCTCTCCACCATGCGCATGCCAGTGGGAGCACTACCGCCTCCCCACTGCCGCTGACGTGGCCGTGTTCGCCGTGGCTTTTTGTCCTGTTCGTCGCGCGACATGGCCAGCACTGCTCAGGTAGTCACTGGCCGAACCACCACTTCGGATGGGCTCGCGGTGTGCCCCTGGTGCTTATCCGCTATCTCTACCATCCTATTAGCGTTGTGGCTCACCGAAACGCGGTTGCTGCCGTTGCA